GAGAAACTGGATTTGTATCCTTTAGCATTTCCCAGAATGAGAGGTGTTCTGATTGAAACCTACAAAATACTTATGTGGTACAGTAGATGCAGGTAAGATGTTTTCACTGGTTGTAGAGTCTAAAACAAGGGGACACAGTTTCCAAGAAACGGCAAATTAGGACCAAGGTGAGAAGAAACGTATTTACTCAGGTTGTGAATCTTTGGAATACTGTACCTCAAAGGGCTGTGGAAGCTCAGTCATTGAGTTTGTTTAAAGTAGAGACTGATATATTTCTAAATAGTGGTGACACAAAAGGATACAGTGGTAGTGTAATACTTTTTTTGCTTTATTCATTCACGGGATGAAGGCATTACTGGCCAGGCCATCATTTATTGCCCATTCCTAATTGCTCAGAGGGCAGTTAAGAGTCAACCTCATTGCTGTGGCTAGACCAGGTAAGGATGGCCGTTTCCTTCCCTAAAGGACATTAGTGAACCAGATGGGTTTTTCCAACAATTGACAATGGATTCATGATCATTATTAGACTCTTAATTCCAGATTTATTTTGATTGAATTCAGATTCCACCATCTGCCATGACAGGATTTAAACCTGGGTCCCCAGAACGTTATTTGGCTCTCTGGATTAACAGGCCAGCGATAATACCACTAGGCCATTACCTCCCCTGATATGTTCCTGAGTTAGAGCTGCAGGAAACAATGGGAAGAAACTCCTGGGCTCCAGGAAGTACATGTCAATTGAAGTCATGGATTTTGAATGTGGCAGTCATCTATTTTCTAACTCTCCTCTGAAACAATCCCTCGACTACAGGGAAAGTTCAGGCCCAGAATCTATCTGGAACTCGTGTTGCTGCAGATCCACGCAGGCCTATAAATCCATCACCATGTCGACCTGTCCTGTGTTGGTAACATAACTGCAGAGAGCTAGGCTCCAGCATCTCTCTATCCCCTACTTAAGCAATTGGGTGACCCTACAATTATGGGCAAAGCCAACAGTGTCACTGAGATCAGTGCCAAATGGAAGTTAGAAAATACAGGTGGCAGATAGAGATACTTCCCAGGGACAGAAGTAATGTTTTCAGATGGAACAAAAGTGCACTTAAGAACATGTTTCTAAAGATGATGGATGCTGGGTTCAATTCTAAATGGCTTGTGTTTTCTGTTGTTGTTGCAAATCTCCTTAGTGATCATGTTTTATCCTTTTGATAGGGCGGCAGAAACACAATGCACATATGGTTCGGTGCCCTCTCTGTTAGATTGTAGCTCTCCATTTGTGCATTTTCAAGGAAATCCTGTAAGTGGTGTGACTGTATTCAAGGTGCAGCTCAGTGTGCTAATGTCGGCTTGTCAAATAGAAATATGTTTGGAGGAGCAGTACGAATCTAAGGGAAAAGTATCCCACTTTCCCTTGGAAAAAGGTGCCCCATTTTCAACTGTGGATGGGTTGGGAGCATTCTCTTCAGAATCCAAAGGTTGTAGTTTCGAATCTGATTCCCAAGCACAAGCACAAAAATCTAAGTTTGACACTGCAGTGTCCGAGTGCCCCAGATACGATCTTTCAGATGTGATGGGAAGCCCTGCTTGACTTCTCAGACAGAGGGAAAGGATCCAATGACATTGGTATGAAGAACAGCAGAAGATAATGGCCAGTGTCCTGGTTAATGCTTGTCACGCAAGCAGATTATCTGATCGTATGACAGTCAAATTGTTTACACAGAGGGTGGTTTGCGTGTGGAATGAACTTCCTCAGGAAGTGGTGGATGTTGGTACAGTTACAGCGTTTAAAAGACATTTGCATAAGTACATGAATGGGAAAGGTTTGGAGGGATAGGGGCCAGGAGCAAGCAGGTGGGACTAGTTTAGAAATAACAGTGTGGTGCTGGAGGAACACAGCAGGCCAGGCAGCATCAGAGGAGCAGGAAAGCTGATGTTTCGGGTCGGGACCTAGTTTAGTTTGGGATTATGTTTGGCACGGACTGGTTGGACCAAAGGTTCTGTGTGGTATGACTCTATGACTGTTTACAGGTGCTTGCTGTGTGTGCGCACCTGTCCTGCATTGTAACAGTTGCCACACTTCAAAGAAGAGTGGTAAAGTGCTTTGAGACTTTGTGAAAGGTGCTGCATAAATTCAGCTATTAATATATAAACAGGCTGGGCCTCAGAATCTAAACTGTACTATCTCAATTTAGATTATAATTATACCATCTTATATCAATTCTATGGTGTGTTGAACTGTGCCCAGATAGATTTGTAAAATTTCTCGGCAAGAATAGGGACTGAGACGAAGAGAAGTGTCTTCACTCCAAGAGCAGATGACTCCTCCAGTGGGGTGCATCCTGTCATCCCCCTGTTTCCTTTTGAGGAAGTTGCACTTGGAGACCTGAACAGGTTCCCAAGCCCTTCGCTGCCTTGCCTGTTGTCCTGACGACCAGTGACCAATGGATGGAGTGCAGGTATGTGCGCCTTTCCAGCAGACCCTGAGGATGCTGGACCTGGGTCTTCATGGCAACCACCAACCTGTCCATGGAGATGGCCAGACGGTCACATGACTCTCTGCCCTCCTGCAGCTTTTGGGCAATGACGGTCATCCCTGTCTGATGCTCCTGGTCCTCCCAGTGCATGTGGACAAAGTCCCTGATTGCCAACACCACAGGATCCTCTCCTGCCTGGGGCTGAGCAGGTGCCTGGTCTCTGGCCGCCCTCCCAATGCCAGCGACCTGGGGCACTACTTCCTCCACCGGCTGCGGAGCTGCCACAGTGAGGAGCTTCACCAGGTTGATGGCTAACAGTGGTGTGAAATGTATGGCACTGATAGCAGGGTCACTGGGAGAGGTACAGTGCTATTATAACTGGTACTTACTTGGTTGGCAGATCTTGGATGGCATCCCCCAAGAGCAGCCCCAGTCTTCACCTGCAGGGGTCGCCTCGTGGAAGGTGAGGAGCCTAATGTCACCCATACAGGCTCCCTCTGCCCTATTGGGGCTGCTGTTGCCTGAAATGAAAGAAACAGAGGGGTTAAGTGAGGTAAAAGTCTGAGGTTTAGCTGCTGGTGCTGGTTCAGGGGGTCAAATAATGAGGTGTCTTGAGTGGGTGAGGAGGCAGTATGGAGGGCTTACAGGTTTAGTTGGGAGGGGCAGTTTGAGGGGCATTACTTGGGTAGTGACAGTCGAGCATGAGTCTTGGTGACAGTAGAGATAGAGTGAGTGTGAGGCAGCAGAGAGGAGTGCGGTACTTGTCCTGGTGGAGTGGAGAAGGTCATTGAACCTTCTTATGACACTTCATGCCATTTCCTCCTCACTGTGGAAGTGGAACTGACCCAGGTGGTGATCTTAGAGCAGGCTGGCAGAATCTGGTGGCTTGGTCTGCTCTGGTGATCTTCCGGGGAGAACATTCCTAAATGTTGCACCACCTCCTTGACTGGGACCTCCCGGCCCCTGCTGGAAAATAATCCCTTTCTCCGACATGTCCAGATTCTGTCTGTCACCAAATTTCGAATGCTGTTGCTCGCCGGGTATTTGAAAGATTGTTCAGGGGTGCCTGGGCTGTGGGTAATATCTGCTGAAACGTGAGTTATTCCAGGAGCAGCATGTGGTAAAATGGGGCTGGAATCGGACATTAAAGATGTCGATGAGGCAGGGCTGGTAGCTAATGTGCTGCGATTTGTGAAGGTAATGTGAAAAATCTAATGATGGGAGTCCCTCCAAAAGAGCTCCAACGCAACTCATACTCAGCCAAAAAGAGGTAAGATTCAACCCAGTGTCTATACGTGGAGATAAGGAATCAAGAGATGGAGGTTGGAGTCATCAGAATTCAGGATCTATATCTTTGACATGCAGAACGCATTTGGATTTGATATACCAGCAATGGAAATTTACACAAAGTTAGAAACATGGAAACTAGGAACAAGGCCCTTCAGCCCTTCAAGCCTGCACCACTATTCTGTATGATCATGGCTGATCCTCTATCTCAATGCCATACTCTGGGATGATGCTCTGATTTAACTAGAGGAGAAGCTTTGTAACAAGCGTACAGTTTAAAATAGGGGCCGTCGTATCACAGTAGTAGTGTTCCTCTCTCTGAGTTGGGAGGCCTAGAATCATGTCCAGAACTGTGTGCCAACATGTCTGAACAGGTTGATTAGAAATATCAGCAATGTAAAATGGACACCAACAAAACAAGTTGTGCACCCAACTTTGCAAATCATCCTTATGGTATATTGAATATGCAATGAGTTCTTTCTTACTTGTTTAGTGGGTGTGGATCAGGATGTTCGGTCAGCATTTATTGTCCATCCCTAATTGCCCAGAGGGCAGTTCAGAGTCAACCACATTGCTGTGGGTCTGGAGTCACACATAGGCCAGACCAGGTAAAGATGACAGTTTCCTTCCCTAAAGGGTATTAGTGAACCTGATGGGTTTTTTTGTGACTGTGTTGTTGGGGTCACTATTAAAGAGACTAGCTTTCAATCCTTGATTTAGTTTTAAAATTAATTGAAATTAAATTCCAGTTATGAGGAAGTGCCACTCAACCTGAAACATTAACTCTGATTTCTCTCCACATTTGCTGCTAGATGTGCTGAGCTTTTCCAGCAATTTCTGTTTTTGTTTCTGATTTACAGCATCCGCAGTTTGTTCGGTGTAATCTCTCCATTGTTTCAATGCAATGCAACATCCATGTATCATTTGTATTGCACTTAACCAAAGGATTGCTGTCATGATTTGTCTCAGACACCTTTAGATCTTGTCCTTCAACAAGTTAAGCAGGATGTCAGAGCTTGGTGAAACATTTAACTGACAGAAACTCTTGTCTTTATCTGCGCTAGGTGCCCATTTCTTCGGAAAGGTTTACTCTGCAGCAGCAAGCGTCCTGAGACCAACCATCAACAAGTTTTTTTATCTCCGCACTCTAGACTGACAGCGTTACCTAAGGTCGTTGTTGGCGAGCCAAGTGGAACAGTTGCCTGTGTTTCTGTTGAGGCTGTTTCTCTCTGGGGTGGAAAAATGCAGCCAAGAGACAGGAGGCTGTGTTGTTCCCTGGTGGTGGTAACGCTACTCCTGTGCCTGAGTGGGGCAAGGCAGTCTGCTCCTTCATCGGCAGCGCGGGGGTCTGACCTTTCAACAGGAAAGCCCGGGGAAGCTCACAGACGGGTGAAACGCGGCTGGGTGTGGAATCAGTTCTTTGTGCTGGAGGAATACACAGGCACGGACCCATTATATGTAGGGAAGGTAAGCGACTTTCTTTGTTAATGCCCATTTGAACACCTCCCCCCAATCTTACATTTCCAGTTGTTTCCCTCTCATCTGAATGAAGTTCCAGCCCCAACAGGATGTTTCAAGACACTTAAGGTGTGAATGTGGCTGCAGTCCCCTGTGTGCATTGATTTGACAGAGGCGTGTCTTCCACTGAAATGGCATGGTGAGGAATTCGGGAGCATCTAACCCCATCTCACGTGTGATTTCAGTCGCATTCGCAAATTACTAAACCGTGCAAATGGTGACACCAAGAATAACTGAGTTATAACATGAGACACAGCTTTCTCCAACTTTAATTAATTGATGAAGCACAGAAGGAGGCCATTCAGCCAATCATGCCTGTACTGGCTCTTTGAGTGGTTATCCAATTGATCACAATCCATTTCTGTGCCCCATCATCTCGCAAACATTGTCCTTTACAGATATTTATCCAATTTGCCCTTCAGACATTGTATTCCAGATCATAATTTACTGCGCAATTCGTTCTCCTCAAAACTCCTCTAGCGCTTTTGGCAACTTACTTAAATCTTCATTGTCTAGTTACCCAACCCTCTGCCACTCAAAGCAGTATCTTGCAAATTCATTCAAAAAAATACTTGACGATTGTGAACACTTCCATGAAATCCTACCTTAATCTTGTTTCTGCCCGAAGGAGAGAAACTCCATTTTCTCAAGTTTCGCCTTGTAACTGAAACCTTTCATCCCACTTGCTATTCTCATAAATCTGCGCTGTACCCTCTCCAGAGTTTTGACATCTTTCCCATGAACAAGGTCCTTGTCAACGTAATTGTTTGAAATCCCCCGAATGCCAGTGAGTGATTCATGGAGAACCAAGTGGTTCGACAAGATTTTTATTACAACTCATGGGAATGACTGTAACTCCATTACTGCTTTGCTCATGAATAAGTCTGTCAGACTGTTGTGTTTCTTGGAGCTAGAGTGACTATAACCTTTTCTGTTCCTTTAACATTAAATATTTGAGCATTGGTTCCACCAACAATTTGAATGAGTCTTGTGCACATTTGATTTACAAATACATGTGGTTTATAAAGAGCAGTGTGGCTTTGCATGTAAATATTGAATTGGTTGGAAGGGTGTTACTACTGGTGCTGGTTGTTAGCTTTAGCCCAGGGGGATCTTGTGGTCCACTGGTAATGTCCTTACCTCACTTGAGCCCTGAGCTTAAGTCCCACCTGCTCCAGAGATGTGCAATAAAATCTCTGAACGGGATGCTTCAAAAAGATAATGCAAACAGATGGTAATACTTTGCTTGTAAGTCTCTAATTGGCTACATAAGTCTTTTACTGGTGGCAGTCAGCAGTTTGAAAAAAATACAAAAAAAAATGCCTTTTTGATTTTGATGGTGGGAAAGTCACTCAGTTGTGTGTAATAATGCTTCTGAGTATAAAGATAGACAAAAAAAGATAAAAATCAGTGAATACTAACAAAAACACAGCTTTGCACTGGAAAAGCTCAGCAGGTCTGGCAGCATCTGTGCAGAGGAAACAGAGTTAATGCTTTGAGGCCAGTGTCCCTTCTTCAGAACTGATAGCAGCTACAAACAGGTGGTATTTATACGGGGAGTAGGGGCTGGATGGGGGAGAAGGAGTGAGGAGATAGGTGGGGACAAAGCTCAAAGAGAGAGAGAGTGAGGGAGAGAAAGGGTTAGGCAGATAAAGGGATTGAGATAGCACGCCAGGGATGAAAAGAAGGTGATACTGTGAATTGTGAATTGAAAGCTGTGCTGAAAGCAAAGCATGTCACGGCAGGACCTGGGGTGTGGAAAGAGGTGTTCAGGCTGTAGAATTATTAAACTTGAAATTGAGTCCTGAAGGCTGTAATGTCTCCAGATGTCTTCCAGCTTGTGTCAAGTCTCACTGGAGCACTGCAGTAAAGCTGTGTTCCTTTAAAGGAAAAATTGCCTGATGGTCTATGTAAATCTGATGAAGGACAGAGGAGATCAACTGCTAAGCACATCATGCTGTCTACGCAGAGCGGTTGATACCATGTGGATAAACTGGTGGAAAACGAGACTTTTCTTTGCTGTTTTATCCACATCCCTGAGAGCAACCATCCATTTTGAAATCCTATGAGGTAATTCAGTAACTAGGCAGTGCCTTGTCTATCCAAGCTTAGAAAACATCATATACTTACCTTCCATTTGCTAAAATGGCCCAGGATGATATAATGAGGCAATGGAGGATTACCAACAGGAGTTTTGGGAGGCTAAGGGTGATTAGAGATCCATTGGAAAGGAGTGAATTTTCTTGTGGTGGGCTTTCTGGGCCAAACCAGTGAAAAAACCAAGAAAAAGAGGGTGAATTTGAATGGCTGACTGATGAGACTGATGATATCACTGGCGGAGGTGGAGATTGTTGAAGAGCAGGTGGCTGGGTGGGGGACAATTTTTTTGTTTTTGTTGAAAAGAACCCAAGTGTCAGGGATGGAGAAGCAAGACAGACAGAGCAAGGTCAGGGTTTTGGGATGAATTGCAGACCACAGCAACCATTGTATAGCACAAGTCGTCATCTTAACAAGTGGAAAACGTAGGACATGGGAGCGGGAATCAGCCACTTGTCCCTTCAAGCGCGCTCCGCAGTTTGGTAAGATCATGTCTGATCTGGTTGTGGTCTCAGCTCCACCTTCCTGTCTGGCCATTCATGACCCCTTGACTCAAATGTGTTACCTCGAGTTCTTATTTTTACAGCATAATGTATGTTTCTTTTACAATACAAAGGGTGACCTTATAGTGGTTTATAAAATCATGAGGGGTATAGATAAAGTGAATGGCAGGGGGATTTCAAGGCTAGGGGGTATATTTTTAAGGTGAGAAGAGAAAGATTTAAAAAGGACATGAGGGGCAACTTTTTTACACAGAGAGTGGTTTGCGTGTGGAATGAACTTCCAGAGGAAGTGGTGGTGGATACGGGTACAGTTACACTATTTAAAAGACATTTTGATAAGTACATGAATAAGTACATGAATAGGAAATGTTTGGAGGATATGGGCCAAGCGCAGGCAGGTGGGACTGCCTGGGATTATGTTTGGGATTTAGTTTGGGATTATGGTCAGCACCAACTGGTTGTCCCGAAGGGTCTGTTTCTGTACTGTATGACCCTATGACTCTGTGATTCCCTAGACTATGAAAGCAGGTCTAACCTAGCCCGAAATAAACTCAATGATCCTGCCACCACTGTTTCATGGAGAAGAGAATTCCACAGACTAACTACCCAGTGAAAGGAAACATTTCTATTTTAAGACTAAGACCTCTTATTCTTAAACTTTGTGTTTGAGTTCTAGTCTTTGCTGCGAGGGTGAAGAGTGTAGAGGGTTGAAGAGTGGTTGGGGAAAGGGTTGTCGTGGGGAGCTCAGATGGATATTGCTGTGATAGAGTCTAACATGTTGAGTTCCCTACATATGAACTATTTCTGTGTAATGCAGTGGAACTGATGTAGTGCACTGTCAAGTTGTATACAAATATACTCCATTAAACTGCAAAACCTGCTACCACACTGGTAGTTGAGGTAAATAGTTAAGGGACAGCTCTACGAATAAATGAGGGAGAAAAGAATGGATATTTATACTCGTGGTGTTCGAGGAGAAGAAGTGGCAGAACTTATAACTCAAAAGAGAGCACTGAGACCTCAAAAGGTCACAAAGGAATACTTGTCAGCCGTCTGATTGAGAATGGTGAATTGATATTACAGTTCAGAGACCTAAAAGCATGAGTTATAAATTCCAGTGCATTGCTGAGAAAGGGTTGGATTATGAAAGGTTTAGGCCATCATAATGCACCTCACAAAATCACCGATGGTGGACCGAGCTTTGCCTTTGCCAGAGGCCCTGGACCACATGGAGGGCCCTGAACAACTTGATCAATCTGCACTGAGATTTCAGCAGATCTGAGCTGCCTCCAGCTTCAATCAGAAACCTGATATGGACCATGTTGGTGAATTATTGTCTGTGATTGACAGCAGTATCAATGCCATTTTCACCAGTCAAGGGACAGACCACAAATTAATTAAGGCCTGTGACTCCTATTTTAGCTTAAGGCATAGCCCCATCATAGACCTGGCAAATTGCAATCAGCACAGCCTGGAGCATGGAGAAACTATTGATTTTTAAAAAATATAAATGACCTAGACCATCCTACTGATAATTGACAAGATGGAAAATTAAGAGATGAGCTTATCAAGGATCCCATCATAGTAGAAGAGCTGGATGCCACTCTGTCAGAATTTTTGTGTTAGGAAAAGTGGCGCAGTTGCCAGACAAGCTGAACTTCACGAGCAGAACAAACTTTTCATCAAACTTTCCTACATTCTGACCCTGGAGTTCAACTCCATTCAGTTTGTTAATAAGAGAGATACCAAAGTACCAAGACAACAACCACAATGGCACCACTCATGTCATTGCTTCTTGTCTGTACTGCAGTGGGAAAGGCTCACATGTGCCAACCCTGCCCATTCAGTAATATTGTATGCCATGCGTGCCATCAGAAAGGCCCATATTCAGCGGGTTTGCTGAAGTAGAGATTTACAGGTTGTGGGACAAAAGTTTAAAATCAGACTGTTCCAATACACAATTGTCCAAGGAGTAGATGCCAATGAGGAACATCCCTCTTTGGGGAAGTGACAGACCAACAGGGTGATTTTTGGAATCCAGGTATCATGGTTGATGGTGAGAACACTACTTTTAAATTGGATATGGGGGGAGGGCATACCTTCCATTCTTTCCAAGCCAACGTGTCATTGAAGCCTCAGTTTCTCCAACCGTATTCCTTCAAATGTCAAGGTTTAGGAGGAATCCCAATAAGGACAGATGCAGGCTATTTCTGCAATGGGACGGAGGTCATTGATACTCTATTTGTCATTCCCAATCAGCACTGCTGTTTATTAAACAGAGGCAGCTTGCATGTTTGAATCACCTTTAATCATCAGCCACAACAGAATTGGATGGCAACTCATTACCTTGTGAGCCAGTCTTTGTGAAAGAAACATTATCCCTGGGACTGCAGGAGGATATTATAGATATTTAACTCCTCCTTCAGGAAAGGTTCGAAGGAACCGGATCAGGATGCACCAAAAGTGACAGTCACCAGCCACAAGGGGAAGTTCTAGACCTTCATCAGCTCCTTCAATAAAGAATGGAAGATGCAGCCGTAGGGATCTGTTTGATGAAGAGATTCACTGCTGTTGAGCCAATGATGATGAAGTCTCCACTGTTACTTTTGAGCAGTTGTGCCTTTTTTAAGATAGAGTGAGGAAGAAGTGAATCTACCTGATGATTCCACTGAGTAGAGTGGTTTGTTTTGGGAACCTGGTGTCAGGCATACAGATGTCACGGAACTGACTTTGAGTAATTAGGTCCTTGATGTTGAATGTGTTGTCTCAGTCAGACCTCGTTTGTTGCCACTGGATTTGGAGGAACTTGTAAAGCCACCGCTTCCCTGGGAGCTTGCGTTGCCTGCTGTAGGTTGACTGATCGTCCAAAGCATATAGAAACATGGTAGACACTGCTCCACAATAAACCAAGACCTTAGCTTGAGCTCCAAGACCTTAAATATGCTTTGCCCCAATTTGTCAAAGGCTGAGCGAGCGCATGATAAAAATTGTCCCCCATGACTTTGACCAGATAACCATGGGATGGAGCTGAATTATTTGAGATGTCAGATTCACCACTCCCCTGGTAAAACATCAGGATGGTAGCTCGGGAGAGTCCAATGAAAGAAGTACCGATGTTGCTCTATAATCCTTTCTCTCTTCCTCTCTCTCTCTGTATCTCTCTCTCTCTGTATCTCTCTCTCTCTCTCTGTCTCCCTCTCTCTCTCTGTCTCCCTCTCTCTCTCTCTCTATCTGCCTCTCTCTCGCTATCTCTCCCTCTCTCTCTCTCTCCCCCTGTCTGTCTCTCTCTGTCTCTCTCTCTCTTCCTCTCTCTACCTCTTTCTGCTCCTTTCAGTTACTCCTTAGTACTAACCTCTTCGGACATCATTACGTGTCTCCATGTCAAATGCTGTTCAATAACCTTCCTGTGAAGTGATCATTCTTATTGCAGTAAATGTGCTGCGTAAGTGCAATTTGTTGTGCCAACATTGAGCAGGATCCTGTAACAGGCCATATTGCAAGCTGTGGAGAAACCTGGCCAAGATACTATGAAGATTTATTTTCAGGAGCTCAGGAAGAGTAGCACCCTCTTCTCGGAGCTGCCCTTTGAAAAGGCAACTGCTGTAACCTGTCATTATCTGCGCCAGATGCCCTGCAGTGGGCTTCCCACTACCAGGCCCTGATGAATTAAATCCTCTTGCTGGTCAGCCAGCTGCTACTATTTTATAAACCTGGCATCAGCAGGACTTGTTGTCATCACATAAGGAAGTTCCTGGAGTTGTGGTGGAGCGTCGTGGTGATACCGCTGGGACAGCCCTGCTTGCTGTGAAATTACAATCAAAATGAAACCCCACTATGTGACTGGAAACTGAGCAAGGCTTCAAAGCACTGATCAACTGTCTTTTCAACGTAGGCAAGCCACACAAATCTTCGATCATATTGTGTGCTGAAAGGAGAGATGCATTCAACAAAGCATGGTATGTTACAGCATGCAAAGCGGCCATTCAGCCCATTGAACCTGCACACTTAGGAAGATTTATCCAACTAATCCTGATTGTGTCCCCAAAACCATGACAGTGTTTCCCCTTCACGTAATGGGCAGAGCTGATTTGCAAAAGGGAACGCCTTCATTTATTCCTGATAGATTCCACTTCTAGCTGCACCTGGCTTCCTTTTCTTCTTCCGCTTCGTGAACTGTTAGCCACAAATTATTAAAGTGAGCCACTGCTTTCCAAGGATGCTGCACACAACCCATTAGCAGCCCGTTCCTAATAGCAGCAGTGTGCCCTGACTACAAGATGCCTTGAGGCAGCTCACTCCTTCAACAGCACCTTCCAAAACCCATGACCACTGCCACCCTGAGGGACAGATAGATATACGGGAACACCACCCCCTGCAAGTTCCCCTCCGAGCCACTCACCATCCTGACTCGGAAATCTATCACTGTTCCTTTAGTGTCGCTGGGTTATAATCTGAAAATTTCCTTCCTAACAGCACGCACGCTTCAAGAAGGCAGCTCACCACCATCTTTTCCAGTACATTTAAGGACAAGCAATAAATACTGCTCTTGTTGGCAAGGCCCAGATCTGTTTATAAAAATGCTGCGCTCGTTCGATGCAATCAATTCTCTCTGGTATACTTCTTTCCCATTGTTCATTCTGTGCCCTTAAGAGGATATTTCTGGCCTTTGACTTTCCCTGCAATCTGCCAACTCAGTGTTGCTCTGTAGAAAATGGGAACATATCGTACAGAGTGGAATGGAATGGATTTGACTCCTGGTCTTGCAAACTCTTTGTGCCCACCCCGTCGAGGATGTTCACGAATTAATATTTAACTTTATTCCTTGGTTGATTAAGGAATGAAAGTTGCCCACTGGGAATGATTACGAATGCGAGTTAAAAGCTGAATTCCCAACATGGGAGGTCCAATATTCCATTCCTATCAGACTAAATTAACCACTCACTCTGCGATCACTGCTGTCTGTAATTAAATATTGATTCAGATTTGCAAATGGGGCTGTAGTCACCTTGTGACAGTCATCAGATAGGTCTATCATGAAATGAAACTTCACGCCTGGTAGAAAGGGGAGAAATAATCATTGAATAAAAGTAATAATTTCAGGGGTGAATGTTCATTGCTCATCCCATAGCTCATTTGAAGCTTTCTTGTGTTGTTTTTCTCCTGAGACATGCGAGATTGTTAATGAAACAACAAAATATTCTTCGAGATGTTAAGATGCCTGAAGTGTGTGATTTTTTTTTCTCTTCTGTCATAACCTTCAGCACCCTTAGCGTATTGCAATTACTTTACAAGGTAAAGAGGATAATTCAACACATTGAAGCTGACAATTAAAGCAAAAATATTCCATTGCATTGCAACTTGCAACAGACTGACTATGATTATCAACTAGGAAGGTTTTCTTAATTGGCCAGGGATGACGAGGTGAAAGATTGAAGCATAAATTTCTGACAGCATGAAAGGGGCATTTTATAAAAGTTGCTCAGGAATAGTGACAGATCAGAGGCAGTTTTGGAGAGAGAGAAAACTAACTTTTGTTGTACAAAAACAAAGGCTGCAGATACAGGAAATTTAAAAAAAAAATTGCATGCCTTGCTGGAAATAGTCAGCAGCTATTGAGGGAGGAACAGGGTTAATGTTTCAGATCTGCTGCGTCTCACCAGAGCCCAAAGAAACTCTGGTGAAATTTTACCAACTTAAAACATTAACTCTGTACCTCTGTTCTGCAGATGCAGAGTGTTTCCAGCACTTTCTGTTCTTAATTTCAGACTTCCAGCCGCTGCACTATTGTCTACCAAATTATGTGATCATTTAATTGATGTTTGTGGGAAATGCTGTGTGTGAATTGTCTGCCATGTTTTCAGGATTATAAAAGTGAGTACACACCCAAAGTAGACTACACTGTGGATGCTGGAAATGTGAACCAAAGGTGAGAAAGTTCTGGTGAAGCTCAGCAGCATCTGTGGAGAGAGAATCAGAATTAACGTTTGGAGTTCAGTATAAGGAACTTATCATAAAACACTTGATTAATTGTAACATGCTTTGGAATACACTGTGAACATATATAAATGCAGTCTGCCCCTCAAGACTTTCTTTGTCATCTTGTCCAGCTGCTTCCATTGAGAGACTTATAACATGTATTGTAGGATGTCCACTGCCCAATATATTTGTGGTACAGTTTAGGCCTCTAGGTCTTCGTGCAAGAATATCTTTGGGCTACAACGCTCACTGACCTGAATCTAAACATGCTGTTATTTATCATCAGCTTCATTCTGACGTTGACCGAGGAGATGGTTCAGTCAAGTACATTCTTTCAGGAGAGGGTGCAGGTTCCATCTTCATCATTGACGAGAGCACGGGAGACATTCATGCTACCAAAAGGCTGGACCGTGAGGAGCAGGCGTACTATGCACTTCGTGCGCAAGCTGTCGACCGGATCACAAACAAACCTGTTGAACCTCTGTCTGAGTTTATTGTGAAAATACAAGACATCAATGACAATGAGCCACGATTTCTAGATGGTCCATATGTGACCAGTATTCCGGAAATGTCTCCCGTGGGTAAGTCTATAAAAGAAGTTTGTCTTTATGCTGAACATCGATCTGAATTCTATGACAGGATTGTGTGTTAGTTCCACCACTGGGCTATGCCGTGTATCACCTGCACTTTGAAAAGTTAGCATCATTGCCTCTCAATCCAGAAAACTATCTGTACAGGAACAGGAATAGACTATTTTGCTCCTCAATCCTGTTTTTTTATTTAAATTAGTTCATGGGTGTAGTGGCACCGCCCAGCATTTATTGCCCATCCCTAGTTGCCCTTCAGAAGGTGGTGATGAGCTACCTTCTTGAACCACTGCAGTTTGCTCTAACCGGCTTCCCTGAATAATATTGGTTTGCAAAAATCTATCAAATTCAGATTGAAAAATGGCCACCTTTTTCAACAAAGATGTGTTACCTAACTGAAAAATCTGGCTTTATTCTAATCTTTAGATAGAATGCAGACTCCACATTCTGCGACTCTCCAACCACAGCTTGTTCTACCTTACCAATGGTGATGGTGTAGTAATATCACTGGATGAGTAAACCAGAGGCAGAGGGGAATGATTTGGACTGCAAGCATTCAAATCCGATCTAGCAAAATTTACAATCAGTTAACATTTCTGGAGTCAAAGTTTCATCTCTGATGTTGTTCCTGATTGCCATAAACATCTATCTGGAGAAATGCCATCCTTCCCAGTCTGGTCTGCATCAGACCCCAAACCCGCAGCATCATGGTTGACTCTTAATGGCCTTCTGAAATAGCCTCACTAACTACCCAGTTTAAGGGAAATTAGGGAAGGGCAGTAATTGCTAGCGATTCCTATACCCCACAAAGGACTATGTAACAACCAGTTCTTCTTAATACCTTTGAAGACTTTGATTAAAATCACCCCTTATCCTTCTAATATACTGGAAGAGGGAAGGAACGGATTTTAAAAAGCTCTGTTCTCGAGGTTAAAATCCTTGGGGTGAGGGGGACTAATAGATTACTTCAGAAATACTTGGATTGTAACACCAAAAATACAATTTTGCTACTCCAGAATTCACCATACTCTGTTGCTTATTCTTCACCCATTCATTATGTTAGTCTCTGGCTTCATACAACAAAGAAAACAAATGTATCCTTGCACCAGTCTTCTTAGATCCTCAATATCCATGACCTGTGCTTATGCTTAATCATACAATTCAAATCTTTACAGTCAAACGTTTCAACATGTTGAGAAATCCAGGCAGATACAAAATAGCAGAGCCCATTCCAGTGGCATCATCATTGATTAAAAGTATGAATCATAGAATCCCTTCAGTGTGGAAAGAGGCTATTCGGCCCATTGAGTCTGCACCGACCCTCCGATGAGCATCTCAGCCATATGTTATGAAACCCCCTGATATTGTGACATCCTTTCAAAATTACTATTGGTAAAATTCCCACTCATATTCCACCTGCGATATTAATAAGTAGAAAAACAGAAATTATTGGAGTAATTCTGGCATCATCTGTGAAGAGAGAAACAGAATTGATGTTATGAGTGCAGTACAGCTCTTCTTTGAGATTCTGAATGAATATTAATGGATGTCTGTGTCTCAATGTAACATGATTAATAGTCATTGAATAATGCTGCAATACTATTGACATAAATAATGGATTTGCTAATAAAATACTGTTAAACTGCTAGAACTAATTATTATTTTATTAGTCTAGAATGAATGTGTGCAATGTCTTATCAGACTTACCAAACTTTATTTTTGTCTCTGACTTACTTTGACATTGAACAAAATTTTCTGCCAGCTGTTTCTTGCCAGGAGTATTCCCCATTGATATTAAGCTGTGGGTCAAGTTTAGGGTGAAGGGGACTAATAGATTAGTTTCAGAAATTTTTGGATTGAGGCACAAAAGTTACGTATACCAAGAGTGAGAAAGTGCAATTGGAGTGACTCTGTGTCATTCCTCAATATAAGCAATTTCTGTGTCTGAGACTCAGTTGGCACTGTTGGTGAGCTGCAGGAGCCAAGTGGATCATGGGAAGGGGTGGTTGGGATTTTGAGGAAGCTCCCTTGTTGATAAGTCGTCAAGTTCAGCTAGCCACTAACTTCTATAGCACACAGACTCTCATCACCACCTTCTCCAGAGCAAGTAGGGATGGAGCCAGCTAGGGGCATCCACATCCCATGAATGAATTTTTTAAAAAAGTAACCTATTTTGAAGTTAGTTAAATCGGAAGAAGATGCTACCTTTACAATCATTGATTAGAAAGATTTAACAATAGAGCACTTGGAAAACAGTGCCAGGATTAGACAGAGACACCATGAATTTATGAATGGAAAATCATGCTTGAGAAATCCGCTGGGATTTTTTTGAGGATGTAACTAGTAAAGTTGATAAGAAGGAGACAGTGGATGTGGTTTACTTGGACTTTCAGAAGGCTTTTGACAAACTCCCATAAAAGATTATCATATTAAATTAAAATGCATGGGATTGTGGGGGGAGGTGTTAGTGTTCAGACATGGATAGAGAACTGTTGGCAGACAAGAAAGTATGAGTAGGAATAAAAGGATCATTTTCTGAGTGGCAGGACTAGTGGGTTACCACAGGGATCAGTGCTTGGACCCCAGCTATTTGCAATACATATTAATGATTTAAATGAGGAAATTCAATGTAATATCTCCAAGTTTGCAGCTGACACAAAGCTGGGTGGGAGGGTGACCTGTGAGGAGGATACAGAGATACTTCACTGTAATTTGGACAAGCTGAGTTTAGTGGGAAAGGGCATGGCAGATGAAGTATAATATGGATAAATGTGAGGTTATCTGCTGTGGCAGCAAAACACAGGAAGGCAGATTGTTATCATGTGACACTGAAGAAGGCAAATGGTATGTTGGCCTTCATAGCGAGGAGTTTTGCGTAGTGGAGTAGGGATGTCTTCCCGCAATTGTACAGGGCTTTTGTGTGACTACACTTGGAGTACTATGCAGTTTCTGCTTCCTTATCTGAAGAAGAATGTTCTTTCTATGGAGGGAGTGGAGCAAAGGTTTCCCAGACTGATTCCTGGGATAGCAGGACTGACTTGTGAAGAGAAACTGGATTGGTTAGGACTATATTCACTGGAGTTTGGAAGAGCGAGAGGAGACTTCAGAGAAACCTATAAAATTCTAACAGGACAGCAAAGAATAAACAAGGAAAGGATGTTCCCAATAACTGCAGAGTCAAGAACCTCGGATCACAGCTTAAGGATATGGGATAAGCCATTTAGGACTGAGATGAAGAAAGACTTTTTCATCCAGACAGTGGTGATCCTGTGGAATTCTCTGCCACAGAAAGTGGTTGAGGCCAAAATATTGAATGGTTTCTATAACAAGTTAGATATATTTGTTAGGGCTAAAGGGTTCTAATGGTGCTGGGGGTGAGGGGAACAGGCTACTGAGTTGAAAGATCAGCAGTGAAAGTCAGAGCAGGCGTGAAAGGCTGAATGGCCTACTCCTATTTTCAATGTTTCTATGTTTCTAAAAACGGAAAAAACTGCAGATGCTGGGAATCAGAAACAAAAACAGAAGTTTCCTGGAAATGCTCAGCAGGTCTGGCAGCATCTGTGAAGAGAAATCAGAGTTAATGTTTCGGGTCAGAAACGCATCAGAACTGAAGAAGGACCACCAGACCTTTCTCTTCACAGATGCTTCCAGATCTACTAAGCTTTTCCAACAACTTCTGTCTTTGTTTCTATGTTTCTGTTGTCCTCGACTAAATCTCTCTACTTTTGCATACAGTACAATTGGCCACAGAGGCTTTAACATTGGTACCCTTCAAATAATAAGCCAGGAAATGTGATTTCAAGTTCATATTTCAAAGGATGACTAAAACCCCGCCATCAAATCCAATATTTTAAATAAAAATTATTGGGCTGGGTGAAATGGAAAAGCTATGCCTACTCTCCACAACCAAGATTCTGACCTATGCAATGCCTCCAGCCTTTGTTTTTTTTTCCTAGTACATGTAAAATGCTAAGTAACATGGAATGTTTTTAACTATCCATTAACAATCACATTCTCTGCATGATTATTCTCGAGACATAAATGTTAATGCCTCTGTGGCCAATTGCACAGCATGTGAAAGCTGAGAGATTTCATCATGGAAAATGAATGGAAAGGTAGCATCTTGCTCTGATTAATCTGGTTGCAACAAAATCTTGCCTTTTTGTCGTTCATTTCATGGGATATGGATGCCACTGACTGTCCCCATCCCTAGTTCATAGAATCACTAAGTGTGGAAGCAGGCCATTCGACCCAATGAGCCCACATTGACCTCCAAACAGCATTCCACCTACCCTACCCCTGTAATCCTGCAATCCCCATGGCCATTCCACCTAGCTTGCACACCCCTGGATACTGTGGGCAATTTCCTATGGCCAATCCACCTAACCTGCACATCTTTGGACTGTAGGAACTAGTGCACCTGACAGAAAGCAATGCAGACACTGGGAGAATATTGCCTGAGGGTGGAATCAAACCCAGGTTCCTGGTGCTGTGAGGCAGCAGTGCTAACTACGTGCTGTCCTTAAGCTTCCCTTGAGAAGGTGGTGGTGAACTGCCTTCTTGAACCGTTGCAGTCATGTGCCTTAGGTAGACCCACAATGCTGTTCCGGAGAGAATTCCTAGATTTTGACCCAGCAACACTGAAGGAACAGCGATATATTTCCAAGTCAGGACGGTGAGGGGCTTGGAGGAGAATTTACAGGGTATGGTGTTTCCATTCTTTCAAATTCCCCTTAAATTTCAACTTTTGTTTGCCAACTTTTGACCAACTGCCCTAAAATCGCTTTTCGTGGTCCCTTTCAAATTTTGCTTCAAAATATTCCCATAATGTAGCTTATTATTATGGAAGGCAGCCCATGCAAGTTGTCGAATCTATATCCTGGATTAATTTGAGACGCAGATGTACCTGGCTATCTGGTTGTTAGAATGGACTGTAAGCTGCCACCTGCATATTACAATCCACCATTATATCACATCAGAAGGAAAAACTCCCACAACTAACAAATTTGCAAGACTTTCATCATTTGGAAAGGCTGAAGAAATTGTTATGAACAATTTATCGAATTTTTTGTACAGTTGTGTTACCGAACACAATTTCCAGTTGATAATGACTGTGGCAGCCAAATTTGTGGTTTAGTCTGCCTGATATGGAAGGTTATAATTCCACTGATTTAGGGACTCAGTTGGCAGTGCCCCTCCTGCTTCTGAAACAGAAAGCTGTAAGTTCAAATCCCGCTGCAGTACAATAGTGAGGGAATGCTGCACTGTTGCTGCTGCCCTCTGGATGAGGCATTAAACAAGGGGCCCATCTTTCTGCTTGGGTGGATTGAAAAGATCTCATGCTACTATTTGGAAGCAGAGTACAGGAGCTATTTCTAGAGAAGAGGCCAATATTTATTGCATTTCTGAAACAAATTACCTGGTCATTACCACAATGTTGTGTGTGAGACCTTGCTGTGTGAAAACTGTTTCTTATATCACACAAGTCACACTCTTCAAAAGAACTGAAGTGGCTGTAAAGGACTATGAAGAGTGCAACATATTGCCTATTGTTAATAATTGAGGAAAAGAGTCTCATCAATTGAAGATGCACTGCATTTTATAATATTAGCCAAAGAAGAAAAAGATACAGGACACAGGAAGGACACTGAAAAAAGATGCAAACTTGTGATGTATTTGTGTTGTTCATTTCTACATCATGACACTTTGATATTGGCTGCCTGATGGACTTAATTTAACAGATAATCCGTTATATTTCCATGCAGGAACATCTGTGATACAAGTGACCGCGACTGATGCTGATGATCCTACTTATGGAAGCAGTGCCAGAGTGGTGTACAGTATCCTCCAGGGGCAGCCTTATTTCTCTATCGAGCCCAAGACAGGTGACAATCAATGGCAATATTTATTTTGTCTCAGACTCCAGAATTTGGCAATTGCACAATTCCGACTGTAATATGTAGTGAAACCTAATATACGCACTTTTCTTCTGTGTTGTTTTGCTGTCCTCAGTGTAGTGGCATCGATGTAAATGTCCCTCCATCGATTGACTTATTTATTTCTTGCATATATGACGAAACACAATGGGTAATTCTGGAGAAACTACTTTACTGAGGAAATGTGTACCCGATGGGGTATCTTAGAAGAACTGCCTGGGTCTCTTTAAAGGGAGGCGAGATAAACATGTCAGGGAAGATGAATGAAGAAGAACAGGAGGTGTTTCGTGTGGAACATACGTGCCAGCCTGAATGAGTTGAGCAAATTGATTTGTTTCTGTGCTGTAGAGTCTGTGCAACTCTGTGTAAATTAAAGGGTGGGCTAAAAAATGTGTGTAAGGTAGCAGCAACTACAAAAATGGGTAGTGTCATGTCAACAGTTAGGTGTTACAATACAGTTGCATGGTCTCACCAATGGAGTTTCTGAATGTTTTGCCCCCATAGTGCCTTTTCAATCTGGAGCTTTGAATGTTTCATTATAGGTCAATTTAACACAGTGTCTGGGGGAGAGAGTAAAGATGGGGTGGGGGCGAATGAGGATGGGGCTGGGGGAGGGGGTGGGGGACTGAGTGGAGGGGGTGAAGACGGGGTTGGGGGAGTGCGAATGGGCTGGGTGGAGGGGGTGAAGATGGGGTGGGGGGAGTGAGGATGGTGCTGGGTGGAGGGGTTGAAGATGGGATGGGTGGAGGGAGGATGGTTCTGTGGGAGTGGGGTGAAGATGGGGTGGGGGAGTGAGGATGGGGCTGTGTGGAGGGGCTGAAGATGGGCTGGGGGGAGTGAGGATGGGACTGGATGGAGTGGGGTGAAGATGGGGTGGGGGTAGTGAGGATGGGACTGGGGGAGGGGAGTGAAGATGGGGTGTGGGGAGTGGGGAAGAGACTGGGGAAGGGGAGTGGGATGGGGTGGGGGGAGTGAGGATGGGGCTGGGTGGAGGGGGTGAGGATGGGGTGGTGGTATTGAGGATGGTGCTGGGGGAGGGGGTGAATATGGAGTGGTGATAGTGAGGATGGAGCTGGGGGAGCGGGGTGAAGATGGGGTGGGGGGAGTGAGGATGGGACTGGGGGAGGGGGGTGAAGATAGGGTGGGGGGAGTGAGAATGGGGTTGGGTGGAAGGGGTGAAGATGGGGTGGGGGGAGTGAAGATGGGGCTGGGTGGAGGGGGTGAAGATGGGGCGAGGGAGAGAGGATTCGACTGAGTGGAGTGGGGTGAAGATGGGGTGTGGGGAGTG